TTTTTGGAGTGAATAAAATTATGAGATTCGTGAACATAAATCTGGCTTAACGTTTTGAATGCGTTTCCTTCAACGTTTTACAAAACAATTAAATTGCAACAATAATGTATTTGTGTTTGTTTTTAGTCTGTAGCATTTGTATTTCGAGAATGTTTCAAACTCTTCTAAATTGTGAAACATAATGTGTTGATTCCATTAAAAAAAATATTTGCCCTGTGACTGAGCTCACTAATATTCATAATTGTAAATAAGTTCTGTTAATCAATGAAGGAAAGATATGTAAATGATATGCAAATTATTATGCAAATTAGCCCCGGCGCTATACATTTTTTCTGGGGAGAACCCTGATTGTCGGTATCTACTAGGGGTGTCACAACACACACCAATTATGGCCATGTATAGCAAGTTAGACAGATACCCCCAAGACGCATTTATAAAAAAACAAATAATTAAATATTACAGTCGGGCTATGAATTCTAATAATGTGTTACTCAAGAAAGCTTTTGTGAATAACCGAAAGATTAAAAGTAAATGGTATCTAGAAGTAACATCGTTATTAAACAATATCCGATAATATCATTCAGTTAACAACTGTGATAAATTAACCTTGGCACAAAGGATTTATTTCTTGGATGGAAAGGTGAGGTCCATAAAGAACATATCGGCTAATCAAATCAGATTTAAACCTTGAGCCATATTTAGTCAAGCTAAAAAACTTTTAACTGCGTAGTGTGCTTACCAAATTTCGTCTTAGTGACCATAGTCTCAAAATTGAAATGGGTCGTCATAAGAAAATCCCATTAAACAACAGGGTTTGTGACATGTGTAACAAAGGTCTAATTGAGGATGAAATGCATTTTCTGCTGGAATGCAACAAATATAATGAGTTGCGTGCTAAACTGTTCAATAAAGCTAAGGATATGATCCCAGCATTTGAAAATAAACCTGCAGAGGAAAAATTCATGGAATTGTTACAGAATGAAAACGTTATTATACCAGTAGCACAGTTCATAAGTAAAAGCTTTGAAGTCAGGAAGCAGGGTCTTACTTGACATCTTAATGCCTGCTGTCAATTTAGTAATTTTATATTAGTTAGTAATTTAGAGATTTTGTATTATTTAGTAATTTAGTGATTGTATTTGTTATTTAGTATATTGTGTTTCTGTTTTGTTTTCATATATATTTTTCTCCTTGTACTTTGTGACCATTTTCTTTCCCTCTGGGGATTGTGTAAGAGTCAATAAGTAAATAAATAAATCATTAATCAGATGAGATACTAGTAAACAGTGTGAGGACCATGGTAAAACATTGTGGGTTGCTGATTGCAGTAACACCGTACAAAACATTTTCCCATTGTATTATGTAGCAGCACACATATTGCTACAGATGCTTTTCAGAAACTGATTTCTTGGTTTCCAGAAACAAAATTAAGCACAGACTAAAACTTGACGTACAATGATGAACATTAATTTGTAAAATGAGTCATGTGACCTACCCTGGTTCAGTGTGATCTGAGACTTGAAGTCCTGGTAAACTTGTTACATTTTCCAAGAATGGGAACAAAGAGGTGTGTCCAACATCATTCTGGTGACCTAGAGTTGGTGATAAAGATGGGAGACCCTGACTTGAATGTAAATAACTTGGTGACAGAGTATGAGCATCTGGAGATATTGGTGGACCCTACAAAAAAACCCAAAGACAGCGGGCATTAGTTATTTAGTTATCAAGGCATCCCATGTAAACTACTTGTAATCGGTAGTCGCTGCATCAAGCATGCACAAGATGTAGGTTCCATACAAACAAAGATTTCGATTGTGGTGCAAATAAAAGACATTACCAAAATAATTCCTAGGATGAATTGAATGCATTGTTGAATATTCTATGAAGTAAAAGTGGATGTTAATGCACAATGCATCCAGATCAAAACTTGCACAGTGCTTGCTACTGAGAGTGCATTGCATTGTGGGAAAATCAATATTTAACACAAATCTCTCACATACATGGCACGATGACCATTACACTGAGGGTATTTATGTTTTCAGGACTACAGTAAATTTTTCCCTGCTACCAAATTTTATGATTTTTATTGATTCACGAAGTCTATAAACATGTATATGTTTTAAGTACTGCAAAACACTTCGAAATACCTACATATCATAATTGCGAATTTGAATCAATGCATGGATTAACAGAATCTTGGTTTGACTGTCAACAATCATCATGACGCGTACATGTTTCTTGTTCCAGTCGCTACGAAACCCTACACGTAGCGGCCAGAACAACAGACATGTACACAGAGCTAGCAAATAAAACCAACCATGTGGAATGTCAGTTTATCACCATGTATTATAATCATGGTGGTGATGATGATGACGGTGCGACTAGTTTTATTTTAAATTCATACATGTAATAAAATGCACAATAACAATACCTGAGACAGCATAAGGCCTTGTCGCTGGTGTAGTATCGCCTCATGATCGTGGCCCAGCCGTCCACGAAGAATACTTTGCTCAGCTTGGCTAACTTGTTGTGGACGTTCAGGCTCCTCTTCGCTTCCCTCATATCCCTCGGAATGTCTTGATAACATCGGATTTTGAGGAGGAAACGGAAAAGCACGCCCGTGCTCTTGACGTTCTCTGTTTCCGTCGTCCATTTTGAAAAGGGATATCCCCTCTCTGTGCATTACCGCTTGGTGGCGCTATCGCAACCACCTGTTCAAACTGAAGTGAAGAGAATTCTCCAAAATATACTACTTGGTACAGGTAGTATTAAAATTAAAAAAGCTGCAGAGAAGTTTTGAGGTGGGGGCCTGAATATTTCTAGAAAAAAAGGAAGAAAGCACAAAAACAAAGATTCACCGCAACAATTATTGTGCATGACAAACTACATGTACAGTGTATGGATTTATGTCACTTTTGGTTGTTTTCCAAAATCAAGCTGAAACCCTTTGTGTCAGTAAAATTAGCCCCTCAAAATGCAGGAAATAATGTTTCAGAGGGTCTAGATTTCAACATTTTTAAGGGAAGCATGCCCCAAACCTTCGGCGTGAGGCTGGTGAGCAGATCTTGCCCCTCCAAAATGTTGTGCCGTCGCCTCTGTTGTGACATCATCGTAATAGTTCTAATTAATATTAATGAGTTAGTTCAACATTATGAATCATATGCATATGCACACATTATGGGTGTAGACGCTGTAAGCTCTTGAGCCAATCACTGTTAAATATTTGAATATGAATGAAATATGATGATCGGTATTGTCATAAGCATAGGCCCAGCTTTGTGCCCTTCACTGAATCACAACCACATTCCTTTGAAGTACTAATTCAAACTGAAACAAGAGGTTTATATGTTTTTTTGGCTGAAAGATTTACATTGGAATATTACATTTTCAAAAGATATCATTGCACTCGTTGATTGCCATAAAAATTTATATATATATAGAAAATCCAAGAAAATGTATGTGTGGTTGAACCAATACATGTCAAGTAGAATCATTACTCCACTTTATCCTTTTCACCACTGACCAGTTCTCTCTTTTCATCACAAATTCACAAAATAGTCTCATTTATAGTCACTTTTCTTCAGGAGATTGGGAGCAAAAAAAGCAAAATTATTAAAGAAAAACAGAAAATTTACTAAAACTTTTCTGTTGCCTCCAAAATTAGAATTCATAGGTCACATTGACTTTACTAACATTTTATACATGAAATTCATACAGGATGTGGGTAATACCACAATTCGTCTAAATGTGGGTTACTACTAGACAGTAATACACCATGAAAACAACATGGTGTACTTTCATTTGTTTATTAATTACAAAGCGACAATATTTTAGTACAGCAATCATATGACTAAATATGTCACACCATATATTTCTTCAAATAATGGTATATATACAATATACTTCTCATATCCTAGTATAAATGCAATATAATACTATTCCAAACACTATAAATGATACAGTATGTGACAGAAACGTGTATCCTTAGACTTAAACCCTAGTTTATAAACATATTAATAAACATTTTGACACTTCAGTTGGTCAAGTGAAAGGTGTAAAGGGGATGCAATACACATTTTATAAATTCAAATTGTTGTTGTAATCAACTCGTCAGCTCAACACTGTCTCCACCCATTAATTAATCTGCACACGTCTGCAATCAGACATACATGTGAACTAGTGTCAGCAGACACCCACTTATCCAAATTAAAGTGCTGATTGGACAATATTAAACTCATTAGTAAGAATAATTTATACTCACTATGATGTCATAACATCCTTGTTGGATTGGTTAACTGGAAATCCAGCAGTCACTTTGAATTCATATAATTGTAATTGTAACATCCACAGGTTTCTGTTGCAAACTGTATATATTCAAAATAAAATTATTTAAATATACTGTAAGCCAAAAAAGTCAAAGTCAATCACAGCCTACAGAGATATTCACACTTTTACAACATGTGTCCACTGTCTTACTTCAAAATTCATAACAATAGCATGGCACAACAGATAGCATTTGGTATATTTAATATCTAAAGGCATAATATACATACATGAAAAAACCAAAATAAAAAGCAGCAACAAAAATCACTTATCAAATTTTTACAACAAAAAATCTTCAGTTATAGGAAATAGTTTGTGGATGCTCTGGAAATTGTACTTTTTCTCAAGTCAAAGCAATAAAAATACAAATATTTTTAATTACAAATGGAGTAATTGATACAACTTAAAAAAATACAAGTCTAAGACTTAAAGGGATGGTTTTTAATGGAAAACAGAATCACCCTTACAAAAATTGTGGTTCTCTGCGCCCACTCTTGTGTCTATGTACCATATTTATTAACGTGTATAGTATATTTATAAACCCAATATAAACTTAAAAAAATAATACTAGTATTATCAGTTCAATTGATAACAAATATGAGCACCATTACTATCAAATTACTGGAATTGTTCGATGAGAAGCATATCTCACAAAATCATAGTGCTGTTTCGGTACACTTAAATTTACACATGCACACTTTCACGTAAACAAATACAGTCTTTAAATTATAAATACATAATTATATATATACATTTGTACCATAATTTATCATTCTTAGAAAAAATACTGTGAGTAAAAAAACTGCACTGTGTATATTTCTATTCATAAGTATAGGTATTTGCCTCTCATAGTGTTTAGGCTTTGTGACATTTACAAGAGTAGCTTTTACTCTGAAACACCACGGATATGAATGATGATTAACATATCTTTTAAATGTTTTCATTTGTATATCTTAACTAAATCTATTAGAGTCAGGATTATAGGTACTGACTCCCAATATCTAAGTCACGATTCAAACCAAATTTTCCCAACTTGAGCAAAAATAATTGAGCAAAAACTTTTATTCACATGCAAAACTCCAGACACCTAGCCAAGCTTGCCAAGGCCTGGCACTAACCTTTTCATTACCAAACTTTCTTGTCCACATTTTTTTGTACGTTTTTCTCACAATCTACAGTATTTCTGGAAATAAACCCTAATTTTGAAGCCAACATTTTCAGTTTTTACTCAAAAAATGTGAATTTGTGATGAACTTGGTGGTGAAAAAGCTAAAGAGTAAATGAAATACTAATTTACAAATGCCTATTTAAACCAGGTAGAAAATGTTAATCTTCAAATTATTACCACCAATACCAAAATTGAGATACCAGTTTGTACCTCCCGAGGAAAGGATATGTATTCTATGTTATGTTGGCAACGTATTCCATGTGATAATTGAATGTGGAAACAATACTACTAAAAAATACATGATTTCTAAACACTATTTCTATATTGAATGAGAATATTCTTTTTTAAGTTTTTCCATCTGTTAAGTACAAATAATGATTTCATTGTCAACAATCTGGTCAAGTTTGAAATTATATTTTACCCAAACTATAATTTATTATTTACATATTTTAAAGCTTTTCTTGTGTTCACTTGATTATAAATTAATTATTCATGATGTAATTCTGTGTCAAATAAAATATACTATGCTATATTAATTATCACCCATCTATCAGTATGTACCATATAAATTAAATAGTCCTTGAACTTTTGAAATCACCTAGCTTTATTGGGAATGTGTAGCCATAGGTTAAATGTTTCACTCTTAGTTTTGCAGTGGAGTTTATATTTCATTGTCATGGTTAAAGGGCAGTGTTTTGACATGGGACTCATAACAAATATGTTATTATACATCTGTCACTGTAACGCCATAAGTTACAGCATGCCGTAATTTTGCGATATTTTACAGGGTATTTTCATCCTACTACCCGGTATACAAGAAAATGCAAATTCCAAATATGGAATGATTACACGCATATAGCATCCTCTAATAATAAAAACAAACATGGCTGACATCAGGGTTTGACCGGACTCAACACAAAGAAGTTTTCTGATTCTGTTCTAAACTTTTTGGATTTCGGCATTCATATGATGTATTCTTGGAAGGAAAAGATGTATAATAATAAGGTTATTATGAGAATACCTCAAAGTATGCACTCAGACAGTATGCCGTGCTTCGACCTCCGCTGCACGTCGGTCGATACTCCAGCTGTACTGTCTTCATGCATACTTTGAGGTATCCTTGCAATAACTTCATATTATTTGTTTAAATGTGCGTTCTGTAACGGTAGTCACCCTTTAAATAACCCTACCACAAAAGCATGAGGAACAGATCTGCTAAATATATGAAACTTTGAAATCATGAGACAAGGTTCTTCAGGATCATGAACTTCTGGAAACATAAATTTCAAATAGAGGGACGATCCTTCTGTTTTATTTTTGAGAAAAGTATGTTTGAAAAGTTAAATAATTTGTCTCTTTTTACTCATGACATTCAATGGACCACATCTATTTTCACATGGTGAATTGAAAACAAGGAGACTCTTGGGTAATTGACCGATATCTGGTTTACTTCCCCATTCATCTGCGCCATCACAGCAGTCACAAATACCGTCATTGATTCGATTTGATGGTACAAACCGTTCCTCAGCAATACAGTAAAACTTTCCACTGGGACAAGCATTTGTACCCGGTTCATCACTACCATCATCAGGACAGTCACAGTAATTATCATTGAGACGAGCAAATGGTATTTTTTCACTTCGGTCAAGGCACTCGAACATGTCGTCTCGGTCTGGTGTGTAAAGTTTACGAAGTTTGGGGTCAATGCCCCGCACCGTTTTATATAGGCCACGCACACCTGATTGTGAGTTGCCAGCCATCTTGGAAGACAATTCATTCCGATTTACATCTTGGAAAAATGTTTCCATGGAAACGAACTGCAGGACAATGAAGAAAACGCCTGCTATTGAGCAGGCGATAAAACTTGAACACAACACGCGTCGTCGCATTCCTCGAAATCTCAACATTTCGCCTTCATCAGCGCAGGCAAACACTTGTGGCTTCTAAGTATGTTTTATCCAACACAAAGCGTGCACGTTTACCAAACTGTGTATGAACTCAGACCAGCTTACCCTAATTAAACTGTGGCTCCCTAGGCCAGTTCAAAATGATAAAACTGCAGTAAGTACGTCATTTTTACAATTAAAGCATCAACAATGAAGCCTTACTAGTAATATATCTAGTAAACTTAATAATTTCGGATTTTTGGTAACAATTTTAAATTCTGGAGTAAGTATACGTAAATAACAAACCTAAGCTAAGGAGCCTTTATTCGACTGCTGGGATTCGACTTCCTCCTTTCCAATTTCAACATGGCGGCCAGCAGCGGTACGAACAACGTGGGCGAAGACGGATCATGGCCAAAGTGGGCAATCGCTTTGGCTATCGGAGCCCCGGTTGCTGTTGGATTGGCCGGAGCATATTACTATACAAAGAAGAAGACGGGTGTGTCGGAGAGAAAAGACCCAGAAGGCAGAACGGACGAGAACGTGGTGACCGAATCAAAACCACCGGAGTTGGTAAGTCCCCATTTACCTGTGAAACTGTTTTATGTCCATGATGGTTTGCAGAATATATTTATTGTATTTTAAGGTATGGTCTACGTGCTCATGTAGCGTTCTTATTGTAATTAACGTTTTTATTTTCTACCTTTCATGTATGTCTCGCTGGTATAATAATCATATTTTAATAATATGTAGCAGGTAATGCCCGGTAAGCGAGCGCAGTCGAGTGGTTGGAAAGAGTTCCTTTAACACTCCACATCTAACCCTAACTCTAACCCTCACACAAGACCCCAATTCAATTGTACATGTATATTTCCCCTCTAGATAACTATAGGTGTCCTAAGGAAGGGCATATATACAATTAAATTGGGGAGCGCTGGAGACTAGGGTAGGGTTTTAAACTCAGACTACTATAGAACAGACTAGTAAGCCTTATTGTTTGTAGCATGTATGTAATTGGGTCAAAAAACTGGGGGACGGTCGATTCGTCCCAAATCACATTCGTCCCAAGTCGATTCGTCCCACAAGTCGATTCGTCTCAAGTCGATTCGTCCCACAAGTTAATTCGTCCCAAAGTCGATTCGTCCCACACGTTGATTCGTCCCAAAGTCGATTCGTCCCACAAGTCGATCGATTCGTCAGATTTAAAGTTAGCCCACTACTAACTCGCCAAATAAACACAAAAAATCCAAACAACGAACTGTTCACGTACACGTCAAGCACTGGGCATGCGTAATTGTTCATTATGCCATTTTGTTTTTGCCGACGTTATAAACAAATACACCGTACACGCAACGTAGAGTTATTAGTTAATAAATAAATACAAATACACCGTACATGCAACGTACAAGTTATTAGTTAATAAATAAATACAAACACACCTGACATGCAACGTAGAGTTATTAGTTAATAAATACAAATACATCGTACATGCAACGTACAAGTTATTAGTTAATAAATACAAATACATCGTACATGCAACGTACAAGTTATTAGTTAATAAATACAAATACACCGTACACGCAACGTGGAGTTATTGGTTAATAAATACAAATACACCGTACACGCAATGTGGAGTTATTAGTTAGCGTGTCAGTAACAGTTGGCATAGAAATTGACCCTGCTCAAGATCGTAACGCTGACCAAAAATTAAAAAAAATGGACGAATGTGAATTGGGACGAATGTGAATTGGAACGAATGTGAATTGGGACGAATCGACTTGTGGGACGAATGTGAATTGGGACGAATCGACTTGTGGGACGAATGTGAATTGGGACGAATCGACTTGTGGGACGAATGTGTTGGGACGAATGTGAATTGGGACGAATTGACTGTGAATCCAAAAAACTAACTCTGCGATGCGATTGTGCATCTCGCAGAATGTTGATTATTGCACTCTGCGAAAGGGTCGCAGAGAGCACGATTCCCATTGGTTGGCTGGTCGAAAAGCGCGAATCCCAATCGTCGATGCCCATAATATTACTTCTTATTTACAGTGTAACGGTTCGCCTCGTGCCTTATAGAAAAATTAAGTTTGAAATGGTAAAAATGGTACAGTAAAAAAATAATGGCGACATGCCACACTGTTTGGTAATCGGCATGCACATTGAAGACAAATTGTGGGACCAAACAAATGTCACATGGTTTATGGTGGTCAGACACACCACACTGCTGGCTAGAAAAGTGAAATAGTGTAACGTGCACGTTGGTGTTGACTGCCTATTTACGGTGTAACGTTATTGCCATCTTGGAGTTGTAAGGCGCCATCCCAACGACTATGCTCATTAGCATAGACATCAGCTTCAAAGTGAGTGGAACGCGAGTACTTTTCACACGTTCGACAATGAATGTTGCACCAGAGTCCCTCTGTTGGGGAACTGTGGTTGTACACAGTGAACAAAAATCATTCGCTATGTGCAATGTTTTTCCATGACAGCAGTTGTTAGCAAGCATCTGCCTTCTTTTAAATCATAAACTGACTCGAAACGAGGAAAAATAAACACTTGTGGTCTACGATCGATCAGCTGATATTTTAACCATCAGAAATGAAATACTTTGTAACAGTTGTGAAAAGTAAACAAAAACGACGTTAGTTTGTGGTATGAATGTACCTACGGTAATCATAATTTTCGAAGTCAGTATTACTGAAAAATTATGGTTAAATTTTTTAAAATGAAAGCCAAACTTCAATGATCCATTTTAATCTTAATGTCATTTTTTTTCTTGATTTTTCAAAAGTTGATAAAACTTTGTACCTTGACCGAAATTCGGAAAGACCATGCTCAAACGTTAACACTACCTACCGTCTTGTTAATATAATTGCATAATGTTTATCTTTGGGACGGTTTAAATGATAGGATCTTGTCTGTATACTCTGATAGAACGGGTGATAAGCTTCCCGTCGCAAACAATGTGTATTTATTTATCTGACGTCCATTGTCAGCGTTATTGTCAGTCAAGACTTTGTCTGAGAAATCGTTTTATTTTCCAAGTCTATATTCTATTTTAATAACACCATCTTACTAACGCAATGACAATAAAAAGAAAGCAAGCAAAGACGCAAATGACAGACGAGGCAAAGAAACTCAGTGACTAAGGGTCATGTTTACTACATGTATTTTAGACTTTCCTGCAGTCGTTGTGATTCCAATGAAAAATTACAGGACTTTTGTGTTCACCCCTCGTTTACACAATTTATATTTATTTTTCAATAATGTTTCATCTAATCAAAACAGACTGCAGGCAAGTCTAGTTCATATTATGACCAAACTCACAAGTGGTTCGAAAGGGACGATGAGGTTGAACTATAGTCTATTTGCATTAAAGCAATAGAGTATCAACTACTTAACCGATGACGACACCGATACGCGAGACCGTTGAGGGGCAGTGATCAGATGAGGAAGTGAGTACAGAAAATCTGTTGACATCGGCCAAATAAACAAAGCCATCATTCCCGTTTATGCAGAGAGAGCTCACCCATCTAATTTTCCATTGACACTGCCATTTTAGTTTTCTATCTACAGCAGTGGTTTTAATCCATTCACATAGCTATACATTTTTTTCTCTTAATATTCTTAATAAAACGAAATTGATTGCTGAGAAACAGCTGAATGCTTTGTTTGGGAGTTCAAGTGGTGAACAATAGTCATAACAAATTATACTTGCTAAATGATGAAAAAAGAAGGTTACATCGATAAAGCATAGTCATAAACAGTGAACCTTTTAATTGAATATTTTTGCACTTTATTGGAGACGAAAATTCACAAGTCAAAGCTGACGTACAACATTCGTTGTAGAACGTGTGAAAAGTACTTCATGTTCCACTCACTTTGAAGCTGCCGCCTATGCTAATGAGCATAGTTGCGAGACGAAGCAACACCAACGTGCACGCTACACTATTTCACTTTTCATGTCTACGTGCACGCTACACTATTTCACTTTTTATGTCTAATCACCGTAAACCATGTGACATTTGTTTGGTCCCACAATTTGTTTTCCATGTGCATGCTGATTATCGAACAGTGCGGCATGTCACCGGTACATACTTGTTTACCGTAGTTCTCAAGCAGTCAGTGAAATAACAGTTTAAAATTTAACATTTCTATAAGATATGCGGTGAACCCTTACACTGTAAATAAAGAACTAATATCGACCATGTGATTCATGCTTTTCGACCAACCAACCAATAAAAATCATGCTCTTCGCAGAGTGACTCTGCGACCCTTTTGCAGACTGCAATTATCAACATTCGGTGAGTCGCACAATTGTGTCACAGAGTTAGTTTTTCATACCTCGTTGTAGGTATGAATTAGGGTTTACACCTGTAGGATGTGTGACACGTGTTTACATGAAGATTTCTGAATGCATTCGCAGTTACCTGCTTTATGTGTTTTTTGTAATGTCATTCTAGTGCACAGCCGCTTACTTTCAGAACTAACCAGAAATGAAATCAGTGAATTTTGACCTTTCGGTCATTGTCGTTCCTGTTCAATTTGGTCAATTTTTTGGATGAGTTACGGCATTTTTAATTTTTGTTCCTTTCATCTACAATATTTATGAATATATAATGAGCAAATTTATAGCAATATTTCTCATTATTTTGACTTTTCCCAGAATTTGTTGATCTTTTTCTATAAACGTCTAATAGCGATGTTGGCATCGACAGTGTTCTTTTGTGTGGACGCTTCGTAGTATTTGTAGACAATGCCTTTGAAAACTTGATATGCTCATGCAACTATGCGATTGAAGTCATTTAATATTCAATAAGAAGCTGACATTTTAATGGTGCATAAATTTTAATTATCTCTGTTCTCACCTTTTTGTATAATTACAGTAACACAGAGGATAAACGTAGAAATAATTGCATAATAAAAACTTCCAGTTCTGTTAATGGGTTTGCCCGTTAAACTGTGTATTAAATAAATTACCATTGATATTACACGTACACATTTTCTTGCATTAAAGTTCAGTCTGTCCTTGTTTCAGAGTCCTGCCGAGAAAGCCCAGTCTGAAAAAAACAAAGGCAATAAGTACTTCAAAGGTGGTAAATATGATCAAGCCATTAAATGCTATTCCACAGCCATAGATATCTGTCCAGAGGAAAATACTAAAGACTTGTCAACATTCTACCAGAATAGAGCTGCAGCATATGAACAGTTGGTGAGTTCTGGAGGGGTGGATGGGTTGTACATAGGGTGGATAGGTTGTACATAGGGTGGATAGGTTGTACATAGGGTGAGTGGGTTGTGCATGGGATGAGTGGGTTGTGCATAGGGTGAATGGGTTGTGCATAGGGTGGATGGATTGTGCATAGGGTGGATGGATTGTGCATAGGGTGGATGGATTGTGCATAGGGTGGATGGATTGTGCATAGGGTGGACGGATTGTGCATAGGGTGGACGGATTGTGCATAGGGTGGATGGTTTGTGCATAGGGTGGATCGATTGTGCATAGGGTGGATCGATTGTGCATAGGGTGGATCGATTGTGCATAGGGTGGATGGATTGTGCATAGGGTGGATCGATTGTGCATAGGGTGGATGGATTGTGCATAGGTTGAGTGGGTTGTGCATAGGGTGGATGGATTGTGCATAGGGTGGATGGATTGTGCATAGGGTGGATGGATTGTGCATAGGGTGGATGGATTGTGCATAGGGTGGATGGATTGTGCATAGGGTGGATGGATTGTGCATAGGGTGGATGGATTGTGCATAGGGTGGATGGATTGTGCATAGGGTGGATGGATTGTGCATAGGGTGGATGGATTATGCATAGGGAGAATGGGTTGTACATAGGGTGAATGGGTTGTACATAGGTTGAGTGGGTTGTACATATGGTGATTTGGTTGTGCATAGGGTGTGTGGTTTGTACATTTGGTGAGTGGGTTGTGCATAGGGTGACTGGGTTGTGCATAGGTTGCGCATAGGGTGAGTGGGTGGTGCATATGTCGAGTGGGTGGTGCATATGGCGAGTGGTTTTGTACACATGGTGAGTTGGTAGTGCATAGGGTGGATGGTCTGTGCATAGGTTGAATAGGTTGTGCATAAGGTTAGTGGGTTGTACATAGGGTGAGTGGGTTGTTCAGGTGGAGATGATATCTACATCCCACAAAGTAGCGTAATTCAATGTGATGATTGGTTCTTTTCTCTCATGTCAGCCCCTCATATAAGATCTGTAATTGGGTTTTGATCTGATTGTCAAATAAATATTAATTACGTAAACTTGGTATTTCCATAGAAAAATTACAAAGAAGTGATAGAAGATTGTACTTGTGCATTAAAACTGAATAAACAATACACCAAGGCATTATTCAGACGAGCCAAAGCGTATGAAAAAATGGGTGAGAAGATGAAGTGTTTAGAAGGTGAGTTTACAGATATTTGTATATTTATATACTCACTCCATCTCCTATGAACCTGTGTGTGATTCTCCCATAAGTGTTTCACACCTGTCATTAAAGTTGTGTCCTTACGCATTCTAAAAATCACTGGACAATTGTAGGACCCAATTTTCTTTGCAAATTCATTTCTGGGGTAGTAATAACTTTTATTTTTTTGTGGGTCAACATAGATAGAGGAATAACTATGTATTTGAACTACATAGATATGATTGTGCACGCATATAATGTATGTGTCTAAAACAAAAATGACAAAAGTGAGAACATTTTGAATCAAACTGGATGAACAGAATCTGCCAATATATAGCAGTGAACAGATACCTTGGCTGGTGAAGATTCCCCAACATCATAGATAATAAATCAGAACTAGTTATATTAGTGATCAGCTGTCGGTGCCTTCCTGTCTACATTTGTTCTCTTGTTTCTTGATTTCAAAAGTCTGTTCTCATGAAAAGATTCAGATAACTATTAACCCTTTTCCGGTCAAGTCAGTGAAAAACCGCCGTCAATATGGGTATGCTAGAATTTACCATGACTCCAGCTAGCTAACTGGTTAAGTCGTTGAAAAACGGCCTGTTATTTAGGTTGCTCAGACGGTCAAGCGTTTATAATACGTTGTACGGAACCTGATATTTTACACTTGCGAAATTATGGAGGGAGAGAATTTGTTTTTGATTCCGTCAAGTCAAATAAATTAAGCAAGTAATAAAGAATGTAATTCTATACACTTGTCTGCTCATTTCACTATTTTACCGTCACAACGCGACGTTTGCGACGACATAAAAAAACAACGTCTTGACCACATTGCAAACTGCAGCACTACAACCATATTTGAACGACACGATTCACGATTATAATGGTAGTAATGTATTTTGACCAGCTTGGCAAATAGTCCCAGCACTTAGAATGAATAGATTCCAACGGCTGAGCTTGGAATGTCGGCAATCATCTACGTAAAATGACCGGGACAGCTGGTGGGAAATATTCAAGACAATGTGATTTCACCGTCTGAGCTAGCATATGCAATTCCATGTGTATGCAAATTGTAACCAATCCGCGTTCGAAAATATAACGTATTTATTTGCATAACAATAAATATTCAAATTGTGGGGAGATGCAGTCTTGTGGACATCTGGTCGTTTAGTATAAACATGGCCGAAGAAAGTGAGATAAAGCCCAGACTCGCTGTGTGCCTCCTTTCCGACACGTACGTCAATATGCCGTCCTATACAGATAGGAAGTGTTTTATGAAAACAAGAAGGAAACTGAAGAAAACACGTCAATCATGCTGTGGCACAGGGAGTGATAAGTTTGACATTGTTACGACAGATTTTTCACCAGCAAAGCATGGGAAAAGAAAGAAATCCAAAGCAAAGGAAACATTTGACGTCTGTGAGTTACTAGCCGAACGTACCATGAACACCAGTGATAATAGTCCACTCAAGAAAAGGCGTAAAAAGAAAAAGAACAAACGCAAGTCGGAGACTGTCTCCTCTGACAACGAACATGTGATTACGGAAGAAAGCCGCTCGAAGGACTGTGGGGGCAAACTAGGAGGCAAACCAGGAGGCAAACGTAAATCGAAGACGAACCGTAAAGTGGTTGAATCGCCAGTTGCCGACGAAACAGATGCTGAAGAAACGGGAGTTGGTCACGCTGAAATACAATGTGCCGTCGAAGATGTGATACAATTTTTGCAAAACAATGTTTGCGATTCGGAACCGTCGACATCCGCC